TATTTGCTGACTATATGAAGACAGGGGGTAAATATTCATATGCAAATATACACACGTATCCGCTCCTTAATAACCTCTCCTCCCTTTACAAACAAACCAATAGAATAATACACAAAATAATAAGCAGGCAATTTACAAGAGAACAAATAGGGATGCCCAAATGATGTAAGGCCCTCAATAGTAACCAAAGAACTCAATTAACTCAAAATGCTCAGTCTCAGTAGTAACCACATAACTCAAAATTAATGTCATTTTTACTTATCACATTGCTAAACATTTTAAAGATTAATAAAAATTGTCATTGGCAGAGTGTGTAGAAGTTAATGGTTATGTATTTGGTACAACTTTTCTGGAGGGCAATATGAATCAGGATTAAAAATAGTATTATTTGACCCAACAATTCTAAGACTTCATTCTGGCAATAACCACATAAATGCTCAAAGGTATATTTACGTGACTGCTCATCACAGTATTGTCTATGAAACAAACAAAAAACTGGAAATGTCCTACATAGCCAATAGTAAGAGTTTTATTAAGCAAACTAAGGCACAAGAAAAGACTACGCAAGGAAGCAACTGGGACTTTCAAATATTGCTGGCAGGAATGCAAAATAGTACAGCAGTTTTGGAAAAACAGTTAGGTAGTGGTAGTTATTCACCATGTGACTATGCAATCCCACTCCTAAATTATTACCAGATAAAACATTTGATCACACAAGGTCCTGTACGTGAAGGTTTTTAGAGGCTTTATTCATAATCACCCAAAACTACAAATAATCCAAAAGTCCATCAACAGGTGAATGAATAAGCACATTGTGATACATCATGCAATGGAACACTAGTCAGCTATAAAAAGGAAGAAACTACTGTTGCACTCAGCAATGTGGGGGAATCTCAAAAGCATTGTGCTGAGTGAAAGATCCCAGACATAAAAACTTATGTATTACATGATAGCATTCTGAAAAAGGCTAAATGGTATAGGGATGGAACACACGGTGGTTGCCAGGGGGTGGACGTTGTGGGAGAAGGTGCACTACAAATGGGCATGAGGGAATGTATTCTCTTCCCAGGTCCACAAGGGGGCATAGTTTCAAAGGCAAGAACTTCCCAGAGCCATACCCCGACCCTTGTCTGCATCCTGGAGCTTAAAGGCCTTTGTTTGACTTTTGCGCTCACGGGGGAAAAAAATCAAAGATTAATAACTCTAGCAGAAGTTTAAAGGAACTCCTTTCATAGAACAGAAAATTTGAATGGGGCAGGAATTACTCACAGGTTAAAAGTCCCCTTTTCCCACATCCAGGCAGACTCCATTTCTGGATACCCTTCCATGACCTCATGGAAGCTGCTCTCACTCTCTCTCTCTCTATTTCTTTCTCTGTTTTTTTTTCTCTCTCTCTGCCTAAATAAATCACTTTCTGCAAAACTCTTTGGGGTCCAATATTTACTTAAACAAGCCCACTGCACCCGGTGGGGTCCTCCTTCCCAGTCTTGGGTAAGTGAGGGACCAAGGACCTGGAAGAACACATTCTATCGGGGAGCTGAGCTTCCCCCATGCCCCGGAACCCGGTCTCAGGCAAAAGGGAACGTTTTGCAGGGATGGAAATCTTATGTATGTTGTGGTGTTATGAGACTGCAGACATTTGTCAAAACTCATTGAACTGTATGCTTTAAAAGGGTGAGTTTTTCTGGATGTGAATTTTACCTCAATAAATCCAACCTTAGAAACAAGACACTCTCCAACCATTCAACATTATTTCTTCTTATGTTTGTTGAAATGAAAATATGTCCCAAATATATTAGGCAGGAACACTAGTATTATCATTTCGAAGATATACTTGTATATCCATGTTCATAACAGCATTACTCACAATAGCCAAAAGGTGAAAACAATCCCAAATATCCATCAACTGATGAGCAAACAAAATGTGACGTATCCATACAATGAAATATTCAACCTCAAAAAAGACAGAAATTCTGACACATACTACCACATGGATAAACCTTGAGGACATTGTGCTAAGTGAAAGAAGCCAGCCAGAAAGGACGAACACTGTTAGGGTTCTCCTCAGACGCAGTACCTGGAGTAGTCAGATTCACAGAGGCAGGCAGTGGAACCGTGGCTGTCAGGGGCAGGGAGGTGGGGGTGGGAATAGGGTGTAGTTTCTTTGATTGCTTTTCTTTTTTTTTGAGACTGAGTCTCACTCTGTCGTCCAGGCTGGAGTGCAGTGATGCGATCTCTGCCCCCCCAGGTTCAAGCGATTCTCCTGCCTCAGCCTCCCGAGTAGCTGGGATTACAGGTGCCCGCCACCTCTCTCGGCTAGGGTGTAGTTTCTTAATGGGTGCAGAGCTTCAGTTTTGCAAGATGCAAACTGTTCTGGGGATTGGAGGCACAACAATATGGATACCTTGTTCACATTAGTGAACTGCACACTTTTGAATCAGTTAAAATGCCATTTGCAAGTTTTATGTTATATGCATTTTTACCACATTGTTTTCAAAAGCTTTATTCTCAAATTGTGTTGTTGGCGGCAGCGGTGGGAGGTGTACCGGTGCTCATGTGCGCATGACCACGGCTGCTCGCTCCGGGTGGTGGTGATTTCCACAGTCTCTCTTTTGTAGTTGTGAGTTTTGCTTTGCCTTGTTTTAAAATGAGCATAGCATTTATTATAACTCATCACTGTCTTGTTTATTTACTTGTTTATTGTCTGTCTTCCTACTAAAGTGCAGACTCTGGAACCACTGTCCATCCTATTTATTGTTAAATCTACAGCACTTTATATAGAATAGACGTGCATTAGGTAAGTATTAAAACAATGAATAAATGACATGGCAAAACCCCACCTCTACAAAAAAAGAAATACAAAAATTAGCTGGGCATGGTGGTGTGTGCCTGTAGTCCCAGCTACTCAGGAGGCTGAGGTGGGAGGATTGTTTGAACCCCGGAGTAGGAGGTTGCAGTGAGCTGTGATTTTGTCACTGCACTTCAGCCTGGGCTACAGAGTGAGACCCTATCTCAAAAAATAAAAATGAAATAATTTTGCAATAGGGGAGGAGGAATTATTTTCAACTTAAGAAAAAGTCTTTTGGGCATCAGAGGAGAGAGAGACTTCATCTGATATTCAGAGGAAGAGAGAAGTTCCCAGTGCCGATTTTGCAGCAGTACTAAGAGGTGGTGTGGGGAGTACCTTGGCCCTATGAGCTTCGTAAGCAGCCTGTGCCGTCATCCCAAACAAACATGCAATCAAAGTTCAGTGCTGGTGCTCACTCTGTAAAAGCAGCTTCAGCACTGATTTTTGTTAATGCCAATCCATTCTTTCTGTTACTCAGGTCAAAAATACTGGAGTCGTCCTTGATTCCTCTCTCTTTTACATCCCACCTGAAGTTCATCAGCACGTCCTCCTGACTTTATCTTTAAAAGTATCGAGAAATCAGTCATTTCTCACCGTCTCTTTCACTGCCACCCTGGTTTAAGCCACTACAGTCTGACACCCGAGTCATTGCAACACCCTTCTGGATTATTGTTATAGCCTCCTATTTGATATCCCTTTTACCCCTTCAACCTGTTTGCAAAAAAAAAAAAAAAATGACCAGAGATGTCCTGTCAAATGTAAGTCATGTCACTTCTCAGCTCAGAACCCTCCGTGATTTCTCATCGCTCTTAAAATGAAATCCAAAGGTGTTGCAGTAACCTACAAGATCCTGCCCACCCACTCCATCCCACTTTCATGACCTCTTTAACCACATCTCTAGTGTGACCATGTAATTTATCATCCAAACCAAAATATCTCTTCCAAAATATCTTTTTATTTTATTCTTTTTTTTTTTTTTTTTGAGTTGACGTTTCATTGTACTCCAGGCTGGGGTACAATGGTGCAATCTTGGCTCGCTACAACCTCCACCTCCCGGGATCAAGCTATTCTCCTGCCTCAGCCTCCCAAGTAGCTGGGACTATAGGCATGTGCCACAAAGCATGGCTAATTTTTTATATTTTAGTAGAGATGGAGTTTCACCATGTTGGCCAGGCTGGTCTCTAACTCCTGACCTCAGGTGATCCGCCTTCCTTGGCCTCCCAAAGTGCTGGGATAACAGGCCTGAGCCACCATGCCCAGCCTATTTAATTTTATTTTTAGAGTCGTTTGCTGGCCTCAATCGATCTTCCCATCTCAGCCTCCTGAGTAGTTGGGTCTACAAGTGTACACCACCTCACTCAGCTGCAGGATACTTCTTATAATGAAGGGAGGCATCATTAGTAATTATACCAGGGCAACAGGCACAAACCAGGAGAATCCCTTCTCCTTTGTGCATTCCTAGACAGCCATATGTCCTCATTTCCATTCCTAAAACACCCTAAGCACTCCCCTGCCTCAGGACCTTTGCGCTTCTTGCCCCTCTGCTCAGAGTTTCTTACCCAAGACCTACATGACTTGTGTTCCCTCACCTTGTTCAGCCCTTTGCCCAAACGTCACTTTCTCAGCGAGGTCCTCTCTAATCACCCAATCTAAAATTGCACCCTCCCCTGGCTGGCACTTTCTATTACCATTGCCTGCATTTTCTCTGTAGCATTTTTTACTCACAGATACATGATATGTTTGTTTTGTTTATTGTCTGTCTCCCTCAGCCCCCTCCAGACCGCAAATTCCATAAGAACAGAGATTGTAGTACGTTTTCTACCCTAATGTATTCCCAGCATGGAAAACAGTTTCTAGCATATATCAGGTGCTCAATAAATATTTTCTGAACAAATGATTTTTTTAAAGATGACTTGCACTCCCTTCCAAATCACTGGCAGGCCATACATGCCTCCTGAATAGAAATTCTGAGCAGGTGGCATTTAAACTGGGCCTTACAAGCCAGTCTTCACCCCACCCAGGAAACATGATAGCTGGATTATGCTCTGTTGGGCCACACCTGCATCCCAGGATTCCACAGAAGCTCATTGGCCGGGCAGCCCCCATTGTGAAGTAGCTCTGGTTTCTTCCTTGCCAAAGACAGACAAGCACTGAGCCTGGCCCCATATCCAGGCACCAGGACCTCCAATCCAATGGTGCCTTCTTCCTCCCAGTCACACTGCTCACTTTGCCCTATACCAGCAAAGGCTAAACTAGGAGAGACCAAAAGCCCAGGCAAGTCCTTGTGGGTGGGCAAGCAACTGCGAGGGAAACTGAGGACCATCCTGAGATAGGTCTTTCTTAAGTCCCCCAAGAACCAGGTGACGCATCATCAACATCAGCTTCTCCTGCCACCACTGCTTCACTGATTCACGCACTTAGGCTTCAGCCAGCAGCAGGCATCCTTGGGATTAGGAGCCAGCATCTCAGGTCTGCAGCCACGGTTTCTCTGGAGAAAGACCCAACAGAGGCTCATTCAGAACCTGAACCTTGAGCTTCTGCCACCGACCCACCGTGTTGAAGATGTCATTGCTTGGAAGGAACTACAGTAAGGAGCTGAACTCCTTGGACCACGGATCTCAGTCACCCTCGGAGAGCGGCAGTAGCACTGCTTCAGAGAACGTCCATCCTGCTGGGGAAGCTGGACTTTCGTAAGTGGCCTCACCGCCCTTCCAAGCCTGAGGTCAAGCACTGCTGTTTTTGCAGCTCTGGACTATGTCTTCTTTTGTCCATTTCCTTAACACTCTTGTTTCATTAACAGGAGATGCATAAATGAAAGATAAAACCTTCAGAATCTAAGGAGTCAGTCCGTGTGGCTCTGGTTACTAGCCCTGTTTCCCAGTTTTTACAAAGAACCCAGCTAGAGCAGCCACCCTCAACATGAGAGTGGTCCTTGTCTCCAGGAACGGTTTCCTGTCTCAGGCTGGTTGCCCTTTCCTTCCTCCCTTTCTTTCTTCCACAGTCTCAGGCTGCCTTCTTCTTCTCCCCACACATCTGCCATTATTCTCTCTCCTTCTTCTCCCCAACCCCCCATGCCATCCATCCAGAAAACAAAAGGTGCTAACTCCATGTCTCCACCTTTACTGCCCCAAACTCAGACACATGGAACTCTTCTCTCTATTTTAAAAAAATTAATTTAATTTTAAGTTCCAGGATACATGTACAGGACACGCGGTTTGTTACATAGGTAATGTGTGCCATGGCGGTTTGTTGCACCTATCAACCCATCACCTAGGTATCAAGCCCCACATGCATTAGCTGTTTATCCTGATGCTCTCCCTTCCCTTGCCCCCATCCCCAACAAACCCCAGTGTGTTTCTTGTTCCCCTCCCTGTGTCCATGTGTTCTCATTGTTCGGCTCCCATTTACAAGTGAGAACATGCTATGTTTGGTTTTCTGTTCCTGTGTTAGTTTGCTGAGTATAATGGCTTCCAGCTCCATCCGTGTCCCTGCAAAGGACAGGATCTCGACAGAACTATTCTTCTGGGACTTACTGCCAATCTGACTGCTATGTGGTAATCAGATCGGTAATGACTGTGGGTGCAAAGAGATTATCAATGACAATCCCCAGTGTTGCTAAGGATACCAGGAAATGCCCTCTCTCATCTTTTTGGGAAGAATTAAATTGGTAGCTTTCTAAATGGCAATGTTGCATGTCAAAACCTACAATGTCATTTGTGTAAAACATACAAATATTTCTTTGGCAAATGCTGTCTGAAAGTACACAACTCGTGCACCCACACACAAAACTGACAGCAGTGGCTGCCTCTGGGAAAGAAAATTGGGAGGCAGAGAGACAGAGAAGGAGTTTATATTCATTTCATAAATATTTTGATTATTGTGTTTTGAATTTTGTACTGTGAGCATTACAATTCAGGTTTTTAAAGTATAATTAAATATAAATAAATCCTTTGATCAATAATACCACTTCTAGGAATTTTTTTCTATTGAACTAGTAACACAGTATGCATAATTTTTTACCAAAGCACTTGCTATAATGTAACCACCCAATGGGTTCACCTTGCCCCCTTCCTAGACAGAGGCGATTTACCAAGACAGGGGAATTGATAGGGGGTCGAAGTGAGTTTTTCTTGCTGTTTTCTGTTCTTGGGTGGGATGGCAGAACTGGTTGAGCCAGCTTACCGGTCTGGGTGGTTTCAGCTGACCCATCAGAGTGCAGGGTCTGCAAAATATCTCAAGCACTGATCTTAGGTTTCACGATAGTGATGTTATCCCCAGAAGCAATTTGGGGAGGTTCAGACTCTTAGAGCCAGAGGCTGGATGTCCCCTAAACTGCAGTTTCTACTCTTACAGCTAATTTGTTAGTCTGTTAGTCCTGCAAAGGAAGAATGGTCCCCAGACAAGAAGGGGGTCTTTTGGGAAAGGCCTGTTAGCAAGAGTCAAACCATGAACTGAATTCCTTCCCAAAGTTAGGTCAGCCTATGCCCAGGAATAAACAATGACAGCTTAAAGGTTAGAAGGAAGATGGAGCCGGTTAGGTCTAATTCCTTTCCCTGTCATAATTTCCTTAGTTATAATTTTGCAAAAGCAGTTTTAATAATATTGAAACCTTGGAAACCTTAAGAGAAAGGTTAACATATGGTATAAAATACAGTATAATATGATACAGTCATTACAAGTGATGGAGGAAATCTATGGACATGAAAAATGTGTAGCACATTTATTTATACAGAAAATTAGTTGATGATCCAGCATGTATAATGGTTCTCCTTATGTAAAATTTCTGTGCATTTAGAAGCAAATAAAGATGCCCAGAGGAGTGCTAATTTTAATGTGTGGTTGGTGGGATTTTGAAATTTCCTTTTATGATAGCAATTGCATAGTATTTAAGAAAAATATAAATCTAATTGGCTAAGTTGCAGGAGAGCTCGCAACATCTATTTATGTTTCAAGGCTCAGATGAGTAATACTGTCAGCTAAGGCGCAGTGGTTTCTCCAAAACCTTTCTCACCTTTTCCACAAGACCTGATTCAAGTAGGAGCAAGGCATTGGTGCTGTTGTGGGAAAGAAGTGAGAGACAAAGGAAAGGAGGGCAGAGGCTGGGAAATGAGACCACATCTTTTGGAGAAATTACTACTAAAGAATTGACAAATTACATTTTTCAAGGAATAAAAGTTATCTCTTGGAAGTAAAAGGACAATGGGTGCCCTCCATCCTTAGGTAAATAGACTGACCTAACAGAAGTTAGATCAATAGACTGAAGTCACAGAATTCCCCACAGTCCACCTGTTCTCTCAACCCAACGCACTCTCAGGTCATCATTGAAATAGCAAAGACCTGGTACAGCTTCTTCAAGGCCCCTTGACATGATTCCCCAATGGATAAGACAAGGAGACATGAGCACTGTCTCTGCTGGACTCACTCGGGCTTTGGCTTTCGCTCTCCTGCCCACCCACAGACAAATTAAGTGTAGCACAAGAGCATCTCTGTCCTAACCTGAGACTTAGTCTGTATCTCCCAATGGCGTCTTCAAGGCACCCTTTTGTTCTGAGTGGAGAAGGCACTTCCACTTGCTTAAACCAGCCCATACTTGCCTTTTTCCTATTATCCCAATTCTTCTTCCTCTTGAAGGAGGCCCTTTCTAACAGGTGAGCACCGCGAAGGTGGAACCAAAGGTGGCAGTGATGATGATGAGACAGTGATATGATGATGATGATGCTCACATCTGTGAAGCACTTCATGATTCCAGGATTCATCATGTTACCTCTTTTGAGTCTTACAGCTTTCCTGGGACATAGACAAGACTACAATTATTCTCCCTTTTTTGGCAGGGAAACAGGATCTAAGCAGCTAAGGAATTCCCAAAGTAGTAACCAAACACAGTAGGTTAGCAGCAGAGCTAGAACTCAGAATCAAGTGCTCCTCCTCTGGGTTCAATGCTTGTGCATGTACTTTTTATTTAAGTTCCTTTTTGATTCTGTTCTCATGATCCTGTTCCCACCCTTCCTCCCGAGTTCACATCAGGATTGGAGCTGCCTGGGCAGGAGCTGCCAGCACAGGTGTGAAGCATATTTAGAACCCTAGGCACTAGCACCCCGCTGGAAATATCATAATACTCTATATACACAGTAACAATTGTTATTAAATTATTAAAGTTTACCCAGTGCCTAATGTAGATATATTATATAGCAATTCATGGTGAGGGAGGGATAGAGAGAGAGGTGGGGAGAGGGAGAGAGAGAGAGAGAGAGCACAATTTATATTCACAATGAATACCGGTTTAACAAATGGATGAAGGAGTAAGCTAAAACCAGTAAATATTCCATATATGGTAGATTTCATTCCTAGTAGGTTAATAAATAACCTGATGCCTCACTGTAGATTGAGGCAACTCTTACTAATTTTTTCCATTGTCTATCTAAGCGATAGACGTGTATTAGATCACAATAAATGTTATTTGAGAGGATAATTCATGAAAGAAGTCACTGGATGAATTAACGAACCAACCAGTACTAGGGCGTTATTCAGAATAGTAGCAATTTTTATTTCCTTTAGAGCCTAGTGGAAATTAAATTAAACAAGTATTTGTTGAGTTGCTTGAACTAGCACCATCCCCAGATCAGGTGTTCCAGGACAGACCCCTAGAACAGAGAGCTGTCTCTGAGTCCACCTCATCAGGTTTTGTCCCTCTTCCCATCAGGCACTCTGGAGATGCCAGAAGGAGCCTGAGCTTCTGGCTATGCTTCCCTTCCATTGATGGTGTCCTCTGTCTCCCTATTCTCCCCACCACAGGATGATGCAAACTTTGATCCACTTGTTGAAATGCAACATTGGCACAGGGCTCCTTGGGCTTCCCCTGGCCATAAAGAATGCCGGCTTATTGGTAAGAGGCATCTGTGGGATGGGAACTAGATTTGCTCATTTGGGGAAGGAGGTGATTTGTTCTGAAAGCCTTCACACTGTTATCAGTGGACAATTTAGGGATATCCTCTACAATAGGAAATGTGCCTATTGGCATCAATTCCCTGGAGCCAACCTGGACCAACCTGAGCATCCTGGAGGAGGCACACCATTACTCTTCAAGACTCGCCATGCTCATCTGACTCCACTTTGCCACAATTCTCCCCACTCCCTAGGATCACATGTAGCCTACCTCACTCACTTGCATTAACAGCCCAATCCCTGCAGACATTTGAATGTGTGACTCCATTTCAAGCCACATGATAGTGCATGAGAAAGTGCCTTAAACATGAGGATAGATGCTTCCATCAATCCCACCAATCCTCTCTCCCCATGCCAGCCTGCCTCTGTCTCTTTTCCTGTGCTGTTCCTGACCCCTTGCTTCTGTCTTTTGAAATTTGCCTCCTCTCTAAAACTTTATTCTGTCCTATGATCATTAATGCCATCCTCACTTTCTGCTTTTCTACCATTTTTATCTACCTTAACTGAGATAAGACTTTATTTATTTATTTACTTACTCATTTTCTTATTTATTGAAACAGAGTCTTGCTCTGTTGCCTAGGATGGAGTGCAGTGGTTCGATCTTGGCTCACTGCAATCTCTAACTCCTGGGTTCAAGCGATCCTTCTGCCTCAGCCTCCTGAGTAGCTGGGATAACAGGTGTGGGCCACCATGCCCAGCTAATTTTTGTATTTTTTGTAGAGACAGGTTTTCATCATGTTGGCCAGACTGATACCGAACTCTTGACCTCTGGTGATCTGCCCATCTTGGCCTCCCAAAGTGCTGGGATGACAGGCATGAGTCATCTCACCTGGCTGACATGTTTACTTTTTAATAGACTCAGCTTCCTCACTTAATTGAAAGCTCTGTGGGCAATAACTGTCTGATTTCCCTTTGTACCTCCCTATGGTGGCCTCTGTAGAGACTGGCACATAGCAACTTTCCATTAACATCTACTGAATGGAATTGATACCAAAAAATAATTTCCATTTAGTTGCAGTGAATCTTATCTCCAGACCTGGTAAGTGGCTCCCATGTCTAAAGAAGGTGAGACCCTCGCATCCTCTGACATGACTTCTGATCTTCAGTGGTTCCAACCCAGAGATGGGACTCTCCCCTTTGGAATCCTCTGGGTTCTAGAGCTTCTGCAAAAAGCATGGTCTTTAGCCAAGCAATCTTTCCCAGGGTAGAATTTGCTTTTTAAGACAATGCTTTTATTCTTTGATGTTTGCTTCCTCAGAGTCATTAGATGATTTTTTTACCCTTCATCTCCCACCAGAACCTCTGGCCATGATTCATTTGAGAAATGTTTATTGAGTACCTACCTACCCTGTGCATTTGCAGTCCCTGGGAATATAGAAGCAAACAAGACAGGAGAGCCTCTGCCACATGAAGTCTGCATTCCAGTGAAGTCTGGTGGTGCTCTTGATCCCTCATTTGTATCTTTGTGATAGGTCATATCTATAAAGACACAAGTATTCAGAACAAAGGATGTGAGAGAGTTCCTCTTTATGCCCTTCTGATCACATCTAGAAGATTATGATTAGTAATCAGCCCCACTTTTTTAAAGGAACTTGACAAATTAGATGCACTCCAGCAATGATTCTCAACTTGGGATGATTCTGTCCCAGCCACCTCTACTCTAGTCAAAAACCTTTACAATGTCTACAGACATTTTTGGTTGCCATAATCTGGGGGGAAGAGTCTCTGACGCCTAGTGGGTAGAGGCTCAGGGAAGCTGCTAAACATCCTACAAGACACAAGACAGCACCTGACAGCAAATAATTATCTGCCCCAAAATGTCAATAGTGTGCCTGTTGATAAACTCTGTACTAGAGAAAGAGACCTAAGTCAAAGAACACCTTGGTCCTCAATCCTCTTGGAGGAAGTGAGGGCTAGAGTATGTCAAAAGAAATAAATTTACTACAGGGGACTCTAAATGGGTAGAACTTGAGGAAAATGAGAAAATGCATGGGCTATGTGGGAAGGTAATGAGCTCTCTGTCACTGGAAGTATCCTAACAGAAGCTGGGCAGCCACTCTACAGGGATGCTAAGAAGAGCATTCAAACTCTAGCATCTGGGAGCACAAGGACGTTAAGGCAGGGTCTGTCACCCCAAAGACAGTTTTATTATGCAAGGGGCCCCAGCACCCAGGCTGAGAGGGCCAGGGAATGGGAATGATTGTGGCTCACTTCCCCGTCTCCTCTTTCCTCCAGGTCGGTCCTGTCAGCCTGCTGGCCATTGGGATCCTCACCGTGCACTGCATGGTCATCTTGTTGAACTGTGCTCACCACCTCAGTCAGAGGTCAGAGGCCTGCTTCTCTCTCATCCAAGCACTAGGGCTCCTCTGAGGGTGTGTTGCATTTCTTTTGACCACTGACCCAATTAACTCAGCCACTGCTCCAGCCCACCTTCCTGCCATTCTGGATTCTATGAAGGCAAGGAGAAAGCGACAAAGAGTCCCCATTAGAGACTCTAGGTGCCGATCCAACACTGCTGCTAACAAGCTGGATGACTGTCAAGTCCCTGCATCCCTCTGAGCTCAAATCTCCTTACCTGAAAGCATCGAAGTGATAAAAAACACAAAAGAACTCTATAAATGACCCTATTATTTGAGACACTTAGAGATGTTCTTCTTTTCTTTTTAGCCTCCCCATCCCCAACCTTCTCCCACTCCAATACCCACACCTTGTCAGGGTAATTCGTTCCGTGCTGTCTCCTTTCCGAACAAGTTAGTAAAAGCAAAAAACATACTTACTAAAAAGAAGCACTCACAATGATTTCAGTCATTATCAAAGCATACATATAATACTCAATGTTTATGTATTTGAAACTTTCATGCACAAACAATCTCAGAAAGAAAAGACAAATGCAGTAAAAACAATGTGGAGATCCACAGCGCTCAGCTACTCTCAGTAAATGTGAAGAAAGGCCTCAACCGTCAAAGTAGGGACAGTAAATACAACTCCCCATAAAGCCAAATTATCATGAACCAAATAGGTGTACCTGGCATAATGTCAGTCACACCTAACTCTCAGAGCACTTTCCAGCTCACAAAATGCTTTTAAAAGCATTCACTCAGGCTGGTGTGGTGGTTCACGCCTATAATCCCAGCACTTTGGGAGGCTGAGATGGGTGGATCACAAGGTCAGGTGATCAAGACCATCCTGGCTAACACAGTGAAACCCCGTCTCTACTAAAACTACAAAAAGTTAGCCGGGCATGGTGGCACACACCTGTTGTCCCAGCTACTCGAGAGGCTAAGGCAGGAGAATCACTTGAATCTAGGAGGCTGAGGTTGCAGTGAGCCAAGATCAAGCCACTGCACTCCAGCCTGGGCAACAGAGCAAAACTGTCTCAAAAAAAAAAAAAAAAAAAAGCATTTTCTCATTCCACAGTTAAATGTATTGTGCAATTACACTGTGATTACCATTCCAAGTGCCTTGCAAGTCGTGTTTATTCCTCACAGTAAGCCTCTATGGTAGGCACTATTTTTGTTGCCATTTTACAGATGAGTAACCTGAGGTTTAAATGCGTTGTCCAGGGTCATATAGCTGGGAAGTGGCAGAGCCAGTATTCAAAGACCTACGTGACTCCATTGTTAACCATTTTGCAAATCTTCTCTTTCCTCAAACTTTCTGGGATTATTATATCACCAGATAAGCTTCTGACATCAGGCCATTCCTGAAAGCCTTCCTCATTTTTTTTTTCTCTGATGACGTGTCTTTTATTTTTTTCTAATAAAAGAGAGTGATGGCCTAAGAGTTGGCTATGGCCTTCAGTTATGTTTTGGGGGACTTTCCCAGTTTTATTTTTTAGCCAACGTTTAAAACCTGGAGATCTCACATTCACAAAATCTCTGCCTTCTTAATCAATTAGACAACTGACTGCCTTAAGCCTTCACTTTTTCAGTGCTCTTCCAGAGGCAAGTCCTGAGCAATCCCTTTTAGAATAGGACATGTGTTCCGGTTTGCCACAGTCTCCACTGCTCCCTACTGTGTCTTATACCCATCCCGTCACCCACCAGATCACTAATACCTGATCCCATATGTCTGATCCCACAGCTCTTCAATTTGCAACTCTCAGATTCATCTCCTTGCCAGTTCTATGCAGAGTGGCCTCTTTTGTATTGAAAATGCCTGTCACAGTGAGCAGTAATAAAAATACCATGTTCCAGCACATCTCCATATCCATCTCTCGCTGTATCTTCCCCCAACATCCAGACTGTATTTGAAGAAAACTGAGGCCCAGAGATCTCAAGAGACTGGCTCCACGTGTCTGGCTATCTGAGGGGCATGTTGGGATTTCCACTGTGGCTTCCGTAGAAGGCTAGAACTCTTCCTCTCTCCTAACTGTTCCTCTCAGTCCTGCAATTTACGCTGTGCGTCCGGGATCTGGGCAACCTGCTGCTGTTCCCACTTGCTCCACCCAAAGATGTTTCTGCATCAGGGCCTGCCCCATCCCTAAAAGGGTTGAGGAAGAGGGACATGGGAAGAGGAATAGGCTGGAACTTGGACATCACACCCTATAGGGGTGCTGGGCAGGATCCTGCATATCACGTTTGCAAGGGGTCTGGTCCAGGACAGGCATCTCAAATATTCCAACACCCTCAGCAATGGAAAGGAGGGAATCACTGGCCTGGCCACACCCATACAACCTCTTCCCCTCCCTCCCCCTCTCCCCCTCCGTATCCCCTTTCCTACTTGAGAGACCTACATCAATGCACAGCTACCTTTTATTCAAGAAGAAGAAATCCAATGATATCCAGTTAAATATTAAAGTTAAAGGGATAACTGCAAAAAAAAAAAGGCAAACTCCTGAAAGTTGTTAAAGTATAAAGTAGATTACTGTTAGCAAATTGACAGAACGCTTCATGCTCACCCACAAATACATAAAAATCACTCACTTTGGGAGTAAACTGTACCTTTAACAAAAACGTTTTAAATTATGCGTTGTTTGTTCTTTCCCCCTAGGCTGCATAAGACCTTCGTGAACTATGGAGAGGCCACGATGTACAGCCTTGAAACCTGCCCGAACACCTGGCTGAGGACTCACGCGGTGTGGGGAAGGTAGTCGTCACCAATGTCGTAGCAGTAACACCAGTAATCATCATCATCACTTTTCTTTATGACTCCTTACACAAGTTTTAAATGAATATGTTCTTATTGTAAACTATCAAACAATATAGAGAATCACCTCAATAGTCCCATCCCCCATCCCACTCTCTACCCATAAGGTAATCATTGAAATCTAGTTAGTAAATACTCCTTTAGACTTTTTTCTATACATGTACATTTGTGTAGAAAATAGAAAGCAAATTATGTACTTCCATTCACACACATACATTGATGTACGTTTTTGGAAATTTGATTTTTCATCTAACAATTTGTCCTATTTTTTTCACGTTAGAGCATATACATGCACCTCGTTTTTGGGGAGTGAGGAAGACAGAGTTTCACTCTTGTTGCCCAGGCTGGACTGCAATGGCTTGATCTCGACTCACTGCAACCTCCTGCTCCTGGGTTTAAGCGATCCTCTTGCCTCAGCCTCCTGAGTGGCTGGGATTACAGGCACCTGCCACCACACCTGGCTAATTTTTGTATTTTTAGTAGAGACAAAGTTTCACCATGTTGGCCAGGCTGGTCTTGAACTCCTGACCTCAGGTGATCCACCTGCCTCAGCCTCCCAAAGTGCTGGGATTAGAAACGTGAGCCACTGCGCTCAGCCGATCTCGTTACTTTTTAAGGCTCACAATGTTCTCTAGTGCATATCCGTTTCGTTTGTTTATTTCCCTAAGGTGAACATTCAGGTCATTCTGTCTTGATAAAAAATTAACAGTGTACAAAATGGTTTTCCATGTCTTAGCTCCTCTGTTCATCTCAACAGCCTTGTGAGGTAGGCATGGTTGGTTTTTATTGTCCTGGAAATATGAGGCTCATAAAGATAAAATAACAAATCCAAAGTTGTGTACATTGATATGGGTGAGCAGAGATTTGACCAAGAACCTAATACTGAAGCTTTCCCCAGCAAAGTTCCTCAGCAGGTGAGTCACACTGTGGCTGCTAAGATTCCTTTGCAGCTCCTCTCTTGGGGTTCTCAGTAGGTTGTTGATATCCTCCTGATCAGGAGCCACTCTAATGATTATATAAGGCCATGATTAGGTGAGGTCATGAGAAAGAGTTGGAAACATTTGGAAAAATACTTAAAGTAATAATTTGTCATCTTTACTAAGAGATACCTGAGAAGCTTTATTAAAAACTGCCCATTCCATGGAGGCAATGGTCGTTAATGGATGCTCAAGCTGCTGGGGGAATGGTCACTGGGAAACTTCATAAAGGGAGAATGCATTGATGCCACCTGACCCCATGTACTCACTATAGCATCGCATATGTATATACATGACAGCTAGCTATGGTGTGTCTCATAATAGCTAGCATACAGTAGGGAGTACAGAGTAGTACCTCCTCTGAGACATTTTCAAGAAATAAATTTGAAACCTCCATTTAATCAAGCCACTAGATCTAATATCCATTTATAGGAAGCACAGGGAATAGAGGATCAAGATAAGTAACACCATGAGGAAGTCACTAACCAAAGAGGAAAAATAGGATATACTACAGGACAAATGATCTGGTATCTTCAGCAGCAAACAAAAAAGTAAAAGTTGGGAGGAAAAAAAATAAACAGGGCAAGGGGAATATAGCAGTTTTAAAAACTTAAGAAACTTAACAAAACACAATGTGCAGACTTGTTTGGAAACCAACTGTGAGATAGATACTTTTGAGACAACTGGAGAACTCTGAATATGGACTGAATATTAGATTATATAAAGAAATTATTGGCCAGGCACAGTGGCTCATGCCTGTCATCCCAACACTTTGAGAGGAAAAGGCAGGAGGATCTCTTGAGACCAGGACTCAAGGCAGCCTAGGCAGCATGGTAGGACCCCCATCTCTACAAAAAATTTTTAAAAATAGCCAGGCCTGGTGGCACACACCAGTGGACCCAGATACTCAGGAGGCTGAGGTGGGAGGATCACTTGAGCCCAGGAGGTCGAGGCTGCAGTGAGCCGTGATGGCACCACTACACTCTAGCCTGGGCCACAGAGTGAGACTCTGTCTCAAAAAAAGAAAAGGAAGAAATTATTGTTAATTTTGTAAGAGATGATGATGGTATGATGATTATACTTTTTTAAGTTCTTATCTATTAGAGCTGCATACTGAATTATTAACAGGTGAAATAACTTGGGATCTCTGGTTTGCTGCAAATATGCCAACAAATTATGTGTTTGATGAGGATGAAAAGATAGAGAATGAGTGACAAAAAGTTCATTGTTGAAGCTGGGAGGAGCACATGAAAATTCATTCAATTATTCTCATTAAATTCTGATTATATTCGTTAAATTATTCATCACTTTTGTATATGTTTGAAAATCTTCATAAGATAGACAGAAAAAGATATCATTCTGAAGTCACATGTGACACTGCCAAGATTCTGACACAGTGGGCTGATATGAGAACCAGGAGTCTGTATTTTTAACATATGCCTCAACCAACAAATTGGTTGCTACTACAAGCCAGTTTTGAAAAACCCTTATCTAAACATTATAATCTAAGTAAAGGAACATATTTTTGTTCCCTTAAAAAATGCATCTCCAAATTTGGAATAATTTAAGAACCCAAAAGAAAAATGACAATAACAGAGTATAAGATGTTAAATTTAAAAATAATTAACATGAGTCTGTTGTGATGCCAAAAAAAGAGGATGAAATAATGTCTCTTAAAACCAGCTAATAAACTTAGAAGACATACTAGGTAATTTAAAAACCACCACCTTGCAACCACCAGTGAAATAATTGATTCAGGCAAGGAACGTCAATGAATGGTAAAGCCTGTGGTTTGAGGAATGGGTTAATCGTGTCATCTCAAAGCTTTACCCCACAGATTACAAAGGGAAAATGTACATTTCCCATGGGAGATCTGGCAGTCACCAACATAGCGGAACAACAGGATATCATGTGCCTCCCAATATGGTAAAATAGAGGTGCAAAACTATCACCTCTGTATGTGCTTGCCAAAAGCGCTCACCTGAATTTAATCATGAGGAAGCAATCATACAAGCCCGAAATGTGGGGCATTCTATAAGACAATTGGCCTGGACTCTTCAAACAAAGCCAGTGTGATGAAAACACAAAAAGGTGAATGTATATGGGACTGTTCTGCATGAAAAGAAAAAGACAAGAGACATAGTCAAATGCAGTATACAAACCTTCATTAGATCCTGAATTTAAGATATAAAACAGCTACAAAAGATACTTTAGAGAGAATTGGGGTAATACTAAGCCATTTTTATGTAAGAGACTTGAGCATCTGCAGATTTTGAATTTGTTGGGGGGTCCTGGATACCAAAGAATGACTGTATTTAAAATAGAAACTGTATATATGAAGATACCGAACTTGATTTTCTGGCTATTACAGTCTTAAGAGAGGTATGTTGAAGTATTTAGGGTTTAAGTGTTAGGAAACCTGCAATTGACTTTCTTTTTCTTTCTTTCTTTTTTTTTTTTTTTGTGATGGAGTCTGGCTCTGTCGCCCAGGCTGGAGTACAATGTGCAGTGGCATGATCTCAGCTCACTGTAACCCCCACATTCAGGGTTCAAGCAATTCTCCTGCCCAAGCCTCCCAAGTAGCTAGGATTTACAGATGCCCACCACCACACCGGGCTACTTTTTGTATTTTTATAGAGATGAGGTTTCACCATGTTGGTCAGGTTGGTCTCAAACTCCTGACCTCAATATTCCACCTGCTTTGGCCTCCCAAAGTGACCTGCAATTGACTTTCAAATGATTCTGAAAAAAATTGCCTATGTGTGTGTGTGTATGAGGGTGTGGGGTGTGTGTGTGTGTGTGTGTGTGTGTGTGTGTGTGTGTGTATAGATGAATGAATACATACATACATGAGCAATGCAATTTGGGACCCAAAATTAACAACTGGTATATTTAGTTAAAGGGCATATGGATGTTTATTATACCATTCTTTCAATTTTTTGGCTTAAAAATTTTCAAAACAAAAAAAAGTAGGATAATTTTTAAAAATAATAACAAAAATAATTGTTTCAAATAATAAACACAGTCTTAAGCAATAATTTTAATGTGTGTTTTCTCCTTCTGTCTGCCTCTTCCTTTCCTTCCCAGGTACACGGTCAGCTTCTTATTAATCATCACTCAGCTGGGCTTCTGCAGTGTTTATTTTATGTTTATGGCAGACAATTTACAACAGGTAAAGAGGCCGCCTCTGGGCAGAGTGGGAGAAAAGCAGACCTTCTGCTGCTGAGACTACATTAGCAAAAGTATTGTGTTAGAGTCAAAGGAGGAGAGAACTTCATTTCTACTCCTAGATCAGACTACGCTTGGAAGTTCTCTCAGTCCTGGGAATCACATATTAAAAGACTCATAGGGGAGCCAAAGTCACTTCCGAAAAGTGTAACCAGGGTGGAAAGAGAGGCTTGCAATCATGTCCAATCAGAAATCTTGGATAATTGTTAGCCTGAAAAGCACTGGTGACATTTGCTTTGAGTATCTCAGAGTTGTCATGGAGAAGATGCCTGAATATACGAGGCCAACAAGCTGCCTCCTTCCCCTCATTGCATTCCTATCAGACATTACAAATCAACCACAGCCTTCTTTCTTGGCTCTGTGGATTAGAGGGAGCATGCTTGTTTTTGTACACTCAAACAGCCAGCAAGAACTGTGACAAGTATTGTAGATGGCATATTCAAGCAGATGGATACTGACCAATATTCAGAGCTTCCCAGGTTTTAGGGCTATCTAAATTTGAAAAGGATATTCTTTTGTAATGAATTCCCTTTCTCTGGATGCATGAAAGAAACCCATTTTGAGGGGAAGAAAGGTTTGGGTAGACAACCTCAAAACCTTGAGATTTTATGATTCTAAAAGTTTCTGGTTGTCACAATCATGGGCACAACAGTTAGGGCTGCCCAATTTGGCAAGTAAGAATAAATGACACCTAGTTACAATGGAATTTCAGATAAGTAATGATTTATTTTTTACTATGAGCATATCTTATGCAATATTCGGTTCATATTTATACTAAAAAGTTATGTTAATTACCTGAAATTCAAATGTAATTGGTTTCCTATGTTTTATGTGGCAACCACACTGCCTGTCATTGTGTTTTATGTCAGATGGTGGAAGAAGCCCACGTGACCTCCAACATCTGCCAGCCCAGAAAGATTCTGGTGTTGACCCCCATCCTGGACATTCGTGTCTACATGCTGACAATCCTGCCCTTCCTGATCTTGTTGGTGTTTATCCAGAACCTCAAGGTGCTGTCCATCTTCTCTACACTGGCCAACATCACCACCCTGGGGAGCATGGCTCTGATCTTTGAGTATATCATGCAGGTCTGTGCCACAGTGAAGAAGGGCTCAGGGCCCAGATTCTCTGAAACACCTAGGGAGGGTTTGTTTTCATGATGGGCAGGGGAGGAAGGTGATTCTCTGCTCTGGCAGCCCCTGCCAACATGATATCTAGGGACACTTCTGTCTCATAAGCCGTAAAAGCTCATTATCATCATCATCATCAACATCCCCTTCATCATCATCGTCATCACATTGGATAACAATGAGCCATTCAACAAATAATTACTGAATACCTTCTGCAATCCAGGCATTGTGTAAAGGGCTGGGGACTCAGTGGTAAGTAAAAATAAATGGGGTGCCTGCTCTCATGGAGGCTGCATTTACTTGGAGAGGTAAACATCAATCAAATAACCAAAAAAATTGTAAAAGTAGTAGGTGGACAAGGGAAATACAGATGACAGAGGAATTTTATTTACTTGGTGCAAAATTATTTATGTATATTAACTTATTGAATCTTTATAATAATACTATTTTGGAAGTAAAGCCGGCACTCTGTATCCATGATTTCCACATCCATGGATCCAAACAATCACAAATGGAAACTACTGGGGGAAAAACACTAAAAATATACAACAACAAAAAAATCATACAAATTAAGAAACAATTCAGCCTAACAACTATTGGCCAGGCACAGTGGATCACACCTGTAATCCCAGCACTTTAGGAGGCTGAGGCAGGAAGATCGCTTGAGCCCAGGAGTCAAGACCAGCAGGACAACATGGTGAAATCCCGTCTCTACAGAAAAATTTAAAAGTAGCAGAGCATGGTGGCTTGCACCTGTAGTCCTGGCTACTTGGGAAGCTGAGGTAGATGGATCACCTGAGCCCATAAGGTCAAGGCTGCAGTAAGCTATGATCACACCACTGCATTCCAGCCTGGTTGACAGAGTAAGGCTGTCTCAAAAAAAAAAAAAAAAGTATATGGGAGGATGGGCATAGGTTACATGTAAATACTACATCATTTTAAATCAGGGACTTGAGCATCTGCAGGTTCTTGTATCCAAGGAAGGTCCTGGAACTAATGAACAACTATACTATCTGTATCCACACTTTACAGACAAGGAAACCGATAAAGTAACTTTTTCATGAATTTCAGACTGCCTCCCATGCCCATGCTCCATTATCACAGACCATGACATCCCACCATTATACTTTCATTTTCTTGAGTCTGAAAATATATGGTGTATTCATTTCCTATTGCTGCTGTGACAAATTACCACAAATCTAGTGGCTTGAAACAATGCAAATTTATTTTCCAGTGCTTGAGTCTCACTGGGTCGAAATCGGGGTGCGGCAGAGTGGCATTCCTTTCTGGAGGATTTAGGGGAGAATCTGTTCTCTTGTCTTCTCCAGCTTCCTAGAAGGTGTCCGTGTGCCTTGGCTCAGGCCCCCTTCCATCTCCAAAGCTAGCAGCCTCGGGCAGAGTCTTTCTCATGCTGCCTTCCCTCTGGTCTTCCTTCTGACTCCCTCTTCCACTTTTAAGGACCCTTGTCCCAACCGAATAGTACAGGGTCATCTTCTTGTTTTAGGGGCAGCTGATTTGAAACCTTAATCCAATCGGAAAACTTAATTCTCCCTTGCCATTGTAACATAACATTCACGGGTTTTGGGGATTAGGATGTGAACATCTTTGGGGAATCATTATTCTACCCACCATAGAAATCTATTATAGTAATCATTCCCTCTAGATTCATGAGAGCTGTTATACTAACTAACAGACTGCACAGCCCTGAAGTAAGTGTGGGAGAGAGATGTTAGAGTACCGGGAAACAGGGGACCTGAATTCTTATCAGGGATGTGCCACTAACTCACAGAGTGGCCTTGGGCAATTCCCCTCTCCTCCCTGTGCTCCGCTTTCTCCACATGTACAGATGAGCAGGCTCCCAATAGCCAAAAGGTGAGAGCAATCCAAGCGCCCAAGTAAGTGATGAACGGATGAACACAATTTGGCATCTATATATACAGCGAATATAATTCCGCCTTCAAAAGTGAGGAGACACTGGCACATACTGCAATGTGGATGAAGCTTGAGGACACCGAAGCTAAGTGAAATAAGCCAGGCACAAAAAGACAAATATTATAGGATTCCAGTTACATGAGGTACCTAGAATAGTCAAATTCATAGAGACAGATAGTAGAGTAGGGGTTGTCAGGAGGTTGGGTGGTGGGGCATTATTATTTGATAGATAAAGAGTTTCATTTTGGGGTGATGAAAATGTTCTGGATAGAGGTGATGGATTCACAACAGTGTGAACGTTCTTCATGTTACTACACTGTACACTTAAAATAGTTAAATTGGAGGCTGGGTGTGATGGCTCATGCCTGTAATCCCAGTACTTTGGGAGGCCAAGGCTGGTGGATCATGAGGTCAGGAGTTCTAGACCAGCCTGACCAACGTAGTGAAACCCTGTCTCTACTAAAAATACAAAACAGCCGGATGTAGTGGCACGTGCCTGTAATCCCAGCTACTTGGGAAGCTGAGGCAGGGGAATCGCTTAAACTCAGGAGGCAGAGGTTGCAGTGACCTGAGATCACACCACTGCACTCCAGCCTGGGTGAGACCCCATCTCAAAAAAAAAAAAAAAAAAAGTTAAAATGGTAAATTTTATGTTGTTTGTATTTTAGCACAATATAAATGAATAAATAACCATATGTAAAAGATTAGAAGGTGAGCTGAGATCTAGACATCTTCTGATTTCCTCTGTTGAGGTCAGGTGTCACCCAGCTTTCTACCAGGCAAAGATTTGGGATGACTTTGACACCATAACGCCACCAATGCACTTCTCCCACTTTCTTTCAGGGGATTCCATATCCCAGCGACCTACCCTTGATGGCAAACTGGAATACCTTCTTGCTGTTCTTTGGTACAGCTATCTTCACATTTGAAGGTGTTGGTATGGTAAGATGGATGGGGTTTGAGCCAATGGTCCGCAGTGCTCTTTACAGTGGCCAATTGTAGTTCCAGATGTCTAAATAAATAGCATGTATGAAAGTGCAGAATATGATCTTCTCCTGGTGAAGGGAAAGTCCGTATCCACATACAGGGTGCCTGCTGCTCTAGCACACCATACTAAGCCTTGAAGTCTGCAAATTTACTAATCAACCAAGACTAAGTAGGACATTCCTGGCAATAGAAAGCATGAGAGAAAGTGAAAGGAGTGTGGCCACGTGGAAAGGCCCCTGTCTGACTCTGGGCCCACCTGGGGAAGGACATCTGTGCTTGTCGGGGAAACCTCTCCTTCACAATGGGCCACATCTCTTTCTACCTTTCCTTTCCCAAACTTTTTTTTTTACTTCCAGGTTCTGCCACTCAAAAACCAGATGAAGCATCCACAGCAGTTTTCTTTTGTTCTGTACTTGGGGATGTCCATTGTCATCATCCTCTACATCTGCCTGGGGACATTGGGCTACATGAAGTTTGGGTCAGACACCCAGGCCAGCATCACTCTCAACTTGCCCAATTGCTGGTATGTCCTGCCCACCTCAGGTGAGATAGGGAGAGACATGGGATCTGTTCTGGTTGCCCTAGCAGAGAGCACAGCAAATCATGTGCTGAGCCGTGAAGCTGGCAATGCATTACTGGAAGTGACATGCATGTCTCCTGCTCACACTGCATCAGTTAAAGCAAGTCACATGGCCACACCTCACACCAAGGGGGCAGGGAAGTACAATTCTGCCATGTGCCTGGAAGTATTTGGTGAACAGCACAAATAACTGCTACTCTACCTGATGCAGTGACAGTGGGAATTAATTGAATTAATACACAGATAATTCATAGACAAGTGCTTAGCATGTGGTAAGCACTCACGAGTGTTACCTATTATCTTTGTTATGCATCCCCACAGCCTTCAACCTTCCCACAAAGCCAGAGCTGTAGAATGAGAAAAATGTAACCATCCCCACCCACCTTGCTGTGTTATGGTAGTGACTAGATGAGATAATAAATGTGGAATTTCTTTGAAGTTGCGTCTTATTTTATGCAATGTATCATCCTAATATGATATTCTTGTTCTGGGCAATTTGGGCAATTTGGGCAAAAAGGTAGCCACTAGCTACCTTGGACAGGGCATTTTCATTCCTGGGACCTCACTAGAAAACATGGGCATTGAGCTCCATCAGGACTTCACACCTAGTCATCAGATTTTCCAGGGAAGCCTTAAACAAATATCCATTTCCAATAAGAAAAGACCAACAACCCAAGGAGAAATGGCCGAAGGGCAGAACAGGCATTTCACAGGCAAAAAAAAAAAAAAAGCCCAGATGGACAAAGAGATGCTCATGCCTGTAATACCAGCAATTTGGAAGGTGGAGGCAGTTGGATCACGGAGGTCAGGAGTTCGAGACCAGCCTGGCCAATATGGTGATACCCTGTCTCTATTAAAAATAAAAAAGTTAGCCAGGCACATGCCTGTAATCCCAGACACTCAGGAGGCCAAGGCCGAGCATGGTGGCATGCACCTGTAATCCCAGCTACTCAGGAGGACGAGGCAGGAGAATTGATTGAACCTGTGAGGCGAAGGTTGCAGTGAGCTGAGATCGCACCATTGCACTCCAGCCTGAGTGACAAGAGCAAGACTCCAACAAACAAAAGAGAGAGAGATAGAGAGAGAGAGAAAGAAAGAAAGAAAGAAAGAGAGAGAGAGAGAGAAAGAAAGAAAGAAAGAAAGAAAGAAAGAAAGAAAGAAAGAAAGAAAGAAAGAAAGAAAGAAAGAAAACAGAAATGAGAGTTAAAAAATGAGGGCAAAGACCAACATGCATGGACACACTGTTTAGTCAAGATGTGGAAAAACAGGTCTTTTTATACTCTAAGACAGCAAATGGGCAATATGTCAACAGCTATTAAAATTTTAAATCACATTGACTTTTACCCCGCATTTTTACTTCTAAGCATGTATATTATATGTGCATCAATATATGTACAAGGATAGTCTATGCAGCATTGTTTCCTTGGGAAAAGTCTAATCTAAACATCCATTAATTGGTGACTGATTTTTTAAATTATTGCATATCCATGCAATTGGCATACCAACCAGCTATTAAATAGAAGATCCAGATCTATGCGTACTGATAGGGAACAATCTTCAAGAAATATTGGATGAAAAAAAAAAAGGAATGGAGGAATGCTGGAAGAATGTCTGTAAGAGTGCTGCCATACACGTGTATATGCACACATATGTGCATGCGTGTGTACATGGATGTTCCTATATTCTGTATGAGCTTGTACAAACACAGATCATTTCTAGAAGGGTCACAAGTAAACCTTGGGTGGTTGCCTATGGAAAGGGAAACTAGAAGCTAGGAATCAAGGGTAGGAGGGATGCTTTTCACTGCATGACTTTTGTACCACGAATGTTACTCTATGCATATATTGTCTTTTAAAATTTTTAAAGAGCAAACACCTAGATTCCTGGGCTGCAGGCCTGTTGACTCAGAATCATCAGCAATATGCACTTTTAATAAGCTTCCCGGATGGCCCTGATGGCTAGTCTGCCCTGAGTCATCCAATATTAGCCAGTTCAATCACTCAAAAGACAAGTACAGATCAAGTGTCATCCAAAATGCTTGGGACAAGAAGTGTTTTGGATTTTGAAGCATTTCAGATTTTGGATTTTTGGATTCGGGATACTCAATCCGTACCAATTTCTAAGCATTAAGTGAGTCCTCAATAGCCCTTCCAGGGAGCCACATCACATTTCACATCCTATCTCTCTGTCTGCAGGTTGTACCAGTCGGTCAAGCTGATGTACTCTATTGGCATCTTCTTCACCTATGCCCTCCAGTTCCACGTCCCAGCTGAGATCATCATCCCGTTTGCCATCTCCCAGGTGTCAGAGAGCTGGGCACTATTTGTAGACCTGTCTGTCCGCTCAGCCTTGGTCTGTCTAACCTGTGAGTAGCATAAAAGGGCACTCTTTACCCAAAGCCATGACAGGGAGCCACCCTGGCGCCCACCCCACCATCGTTGGACCTGCTACTTGCCTTCTTTGAGATATAGGGCAAGATACTTCACCTCCTTGGACCTCAATTTTTCCACCTGAAAAAAATGGGCTTAACAGAATTACTGCACCGTAAATGTTACAGTCATCTCTACTGCCTACACATAGGAAATATATGCTGGCTGGTTTGTAGAAGTATCATTCATTCAATCACCCTTCTATATGTCAGGCACTGTGCTGACATTATCTAATACTGAAGATGGCCTAACAATGTGTTACCAACAGGGGGAACTTTGGCCCAGATAAATTAAGTAACATACCTGAGTCATACACACCAGCTGACAAAGCTGGGATCTGAACACAGATTTGTGTAGTACCAAAGCACCTGTTTTTCATGGTGCCATATTTCTTCTTATCATAAATTATGAACGCATTCCCTATCATGAAGTGAGGTTTAATTGTAGGGAAAAATCCCAATGGGGCTGATTTGTCAGAGTCTTGGAGATTTTTTTTTTTTTTTGAGACAGAGTCTCGCTCTGTCCCCAGGGTGGAGTGCAGTGGTGTGATCTCAGCTCACAGCAACCTCTGCCTCCCAGGTTCAAGTAATTCTCCTGCCTCAGCCTTCTGAGGGAGTAGCTGGGATTACAGGCACCTGCCACCATGCCCAGCTAATTTTTGTATTGTAGTAATGACAGGGCTTCACCATGTTGACCAGGTTGGTCTCAAACTCCTGACCTCAAGTGATCTGTCCACCTCGGCCTTCCAAAATGCTGGGATTACAGTTGTGAGCCACCACACCCAACGGGAGGTCATTTTTTGAGTATCCTCTTCTCTCCTCCATTCCTCCCCCCTTCCTTTCTTCATGTTCCTTCCATTCATTCATTCATTTGTTCATGAACACTGTTGTAGTGTTTGGGAAACATCCTGAACAGGGCTGAGAAATCCTTTCTTTGGAACATGTCTAGACAGAGGATCACAATTCATGACCCAAGAGGAATGAGCAAAACAGCAAGGGATGTTTTGCCTGGAGAAGAAAAGGCTCAGGAAATTTCCATGTTTGTCCTTAAACACCTGTGGGATTATTGTAAAAGTGAAAGAACAAATTTAGTCTTCAGGGCTCCAGGAGTCAGAATTTAAAGTTGTTAAGGGAGTCAAGTCTCAGTACAGGGTCAGGAGAAACTATGCAACTCTTGGAGCTGTCCAGCAGAACACACTATCATCAGATAATAAGCTTTAAAAGACTGGTGTTCTATGACCAGAAACAGCAAACCTACTTGGTTTGAGGTGTTAGAGTTCTCAGTCTGTGCCGAGACATTAGGAACCTGTAAATGGTATCGTTTGTGATCATTCCTACTAGGAAGGGTGTAAGTTGACAAGAAAGACTGAAGAGCCTCTGAGTATCAGGGAATGCGTGACTACAGCTGTCCTTATAATGACGTGTCCTGCTTTTGATATATGCTGAATGTCCCATTCTTTCTCCTTATTCATCCATCAATTCTATTACCCTTTATTAATTCAACAATCATTTGTTGAGCACCTACAACATGCCTGGCATTGTGCTAGACACAAGGGATGCAATGATGAATAATGAAGAAGATGTACCTTCTGCCTTCACAAGGACTTACAGTTGAGTGGCAAATGTATGCAAGGAAATAATTACAGTTTATTCTGATGACTGTTAAGATAGGACATGATGATGCAACGTATGATGGTTAAGATCATAAGTAGAAGACACTCTCTACACATAAGAGGGCCCTATAACTCAGCCTGGCTGGGCCAGGGAGTCCTCTCTAGTGGAGTGAAGGCCTAAAGGACAAGTAGGAAATAGACTGAGGAGTGAAGAATGTACAATGGGAAGGGAACAGGCTGTGCACAGACCTTAGACAAGTATTGCCTATGGCCTTTTGGAGAAGAGGAGAGTGCAGAGAGACAAGGTCAGAGCTTTTTCAGGGCCAAGTCCCAAGTGTCACTGTGCTGAGGAGTTTGAGCAATGGGGACCCATGGAAAGGCACTGAGCAGAGGATTGGCACGGCCAGAACGGAATGTAAGGCAATGCTCCAGGCCACTTTGCATTAGAGCTTTTCTTGCATATCTTTTCTGCCCCCTCGTTGTGAGCGTTCCTGGAAGACTGATGCTGGGTTTTCTCTGTGAGCAGATTATTAAACATCAGATGAAGGAAAGCTGTGGACAGGGACCCCCGCATCAGAGGGGTGATGAACTCCTAGCCATGAGTCTATGAGTCTCTCTCATGCTCTGATTGGATGTGTCATGGCAATTTCAGAAAGAGGCATTTTTTTAAAGATATAGCAAGCTGGTATGGATGCTTTCCAGAACAGTCTTTCTCTATTTTGTTCATAGGAAAATCACATGATTGGAGTATTTAAAGTAACAGATATCCCAAGTACAATGATTTGATCTTTAATAATAATATGAATATATTGAATGATCACATGTACCCCAAAACTATGTACATATATTATACATCAATGTAATAATTGTTTTAAAATAAGAAATGTACACAAAATTAAATCATATAAATTATATATTTACTCAGACATTATTGAAATTGGGCTCCCTTGGAAAATCTATGATACTATATGTTTATAGTATCCTAAATATGCATAAGAGGTGAAAATTTAGGAGTGTGAAGAGAAGAGAAGAATGGGGTTGGAATAGCTTAATACTGTCTTCATGTTTGATGGCCTGCTTCATTGCTAAGATCCTATTAAGAATATAAAAATAAGTGGTTGATATTTGGACAGCAACAGAAGCAAGTCCACTTTTTTAAATATATATTTTATTGCAGTTTAGGTTCTGGGGTACATATGAAGAACATGCAGGACTGTTGCATAGGTACATACATAGTGATGTGGCTTGCTGCCTCCATCCCCATCACCTATATCTGGCATTTCTCCCCATGTTATCCCTCCCCAACTCCTACCCCCCACTGTCCCTCCCCTGTTCCCCCTCAACAGACTTCAGTGTGTGATGCTCCCCTCCCTGTGTCCATGTGTTCTCATTGTTCAACACCTGCCTATGAGTGAGAACATGCAGTATTTGATTTTCTGTTCTTGTGTCAGTTTGCTGAGAATGATGGTTTCCAGGTTCATCCATGTCCCTAAAAAGGACATGAACTCATCGTTTTTTATGACTGCATAATATTCTGTGGTGTATATGTGCCACATTTTCCTTGTTCAGTCTATCATGGATGAGCATTTGGGTCGGTTCCAAATAGTGCTGCAATGATCATACATGTGCATATGTCTTTATAATAGAACGATTTATAATCCTTTGGCTATATACCCAATAATGGGATTGCTGGGTCAAATGGAATTTGTATTTCTAGGTCCTTGAGGAATTGCCACACTGTCTTCCACAGTGGTTGAACTAATTTACACCCAGTAATGGGATTGCTGGGTCAAACGGAATTTCTATTTCTAGGTCCTTGAGGAATTGCCACACTGTCTTCCACAATGGTTGAACTAATTTACACTCCCACCAACAGTGTAAAAGTGTTCCTATTTCTCCACATGCTCTCCAGCATCTGCAACTCCCATTTTTTTATCCATCCTTGCTTCTAGACAAAGGCTATCTTACATAGATAGTACAAATGTTGGTTCTCAGCCTGGGCAAGAGTCAAGAATTTATTGAGCACCTACTGTGTACCAAGTTCTTTCTTACACATGAAAGGCAGCATAGTAGAGTGAAAAGGACCTTAGATCGGGCATCCCAGTAGATTCTCATCTCAGCTCTATGTAACTTTGAACAAGTTCTGTTCCCTCTAGAGCTCTAGATTTCCCCATCTCTACAGTGAGGAGGTTATAACAGATAAGTGGTAGAGGAGCCTTTCCAATAAAGATTATATGTAAAAAATCCAAGAGATAAAGTATAAAAGGAGAGCATCTGTATTGGTAGTTAAGACAGGGGTGGGAGTTGCTTGACCTTCCCAAGCCTGCAGTGGGCTCCTTCCCACCTCTCCAAAGAAGTCTCTCAGGCGTCTGTGAAATTGTAGGGCTGGAACGCAATGGCTTGTTTCTAAGCTCCCTTTTGAAGGCACATTCAGTGATTCTAAATTTCTCCTTTCATTGCAGGTGTCTCAGCCATCCTCATCCCCCGCCTGGACCTGGTCATCTCCCTGATAGGCTCCGTGAGCAGCAGTGCCCTGGCCCTCATCATCCCACCCCTCCTGGAGATTGTCATCCTTTACTCTGAGGACATGAGCTATGTCACCATTGCCAAGGACATCATGATTAGCATCCTGGGCCTCTTAGGGTGTATATTTGGGACATACCAAGCCCTGTATGAGTTGACCCAACCCATCAACCATTCCATGGCCAATTCCACAGGCGTCTATGCATAATTATCTGTTTTTATTCTAATAGCTCTCCCTTCCTCCCATACCCAATTTGACTTCCATGTGGATGTTATATACATTAATTGAAGCCCAACATCTCTATATTAATTAGTGGCTTGTTTATCTTTCCAAGAGAAATGCAGGTAAGAAAAGTTAGCACTGATGTCTCAGGCTACACTTTTTTGGTTTTATATTTTTTGGATGAACTTTTGTACCTCTGAACAAAAATTACATTCAACTATTCTTATTTTCAGCCTCATTTAATGGAAAAGGGATGCCACTTACCCCAACAGCCCTTGAAATAGAGACCAAGCACAAATACAAAAGGGATTGTTTTCTCTACACTGCAGTGGCTGCCCTTAAAGCATCAGATTTAGAAAAGTGTATCTTGGGTGAAGGGGGTTTTCTACTTAGATACTCTAAATAGAAGAGTCACAGAGAGAACAAAAACAGAACTTAGCAGTAATTTTGGCCCACTACTGGCTCTGCCACTGATTTCCTACTGGCCCTCAGGCAAGTTCCTCCCCATCTCTCAGTCTATGAAGCGAAGGCTTGGACTAATTGATTATTAAGGACTCTGTCAACTCTGATATTCTGAAAGTGAAAAAAAGAAATTAACTTATCCACCAACCACAAAAACTGGCTGTGTTAGTGTTGGCGAGGAGGTGGAGTAACTGAAACTCCATACCCTGATACTGTGGATAGAAAGTAGTACAATCAGTTTGATAAACATCTTGTAGTTTCTTTAAAACTTAAACATACACCTACCATGTGATCCAACTATTACACTCCAGGAAAAAGAAACATATACCCATAAAAAGACGTGTACAAAAATATTCATGGTAACTTTACTTGTAAAAGCAAAAAAGTGGGAAATACTCTAAATGCCTATAAACAGGAGAATGGATAAACAAATTGTGATGAATCCATACAATGGGATATTTCTCAGCAAGAAACAGAAACAAACTGTTGAAATACACAATAAAATGTATGAATTTTAACTATGCTGAATGACAAAATCCAGACCAAAAAAGAATACGCACTGTATGATTCTACTCATATGAAAGCCTTGAAAATGAAAGCTAATCTGTAGTAAAAAAAAAAAAAGGCTCAGTGGTTAGTGGAGGATGAGAAGGGTGAGAGGGAGGTGTTACAAAGGGGCGTGAGGAATTTTTGGAAGTGATGGATAACATGTTCACTATCTTGATTGTGAAGATGGTTTCACAGGAGGGTACATAAGTCAAAACTTATCAGTTGGATACTTCAAGTATGTGTTGTTTATTACATGTCAATTATACCTCAATAAAGCTGTTAAAAATAGAATATAAAATACAATTCCATTTTTATTTTTTAAAATCAGTTATATGCATACAGTCAAATAATTTTAGAATATTCAGCATATTGTCATAGGAATGTCCACCAAGTGGGTTGAATTATGAGTAAAGTTTTACACTTTTTCTTTTATTTATTTATATATTTTTTAAAAGAGAGACAGGGTCTCACTATGCTGCCCAGCCTGGTCTCAAACCCCTGGGCTCAGGTGATCCACCTGCTTCATCATCCCGAAGTGCTGGGATTACAGGTGTGAGCCACCATGCCCAGCCACAATTTTATACTTTTTCTTTTGCTTGCCTGTGTTGTTGCATTTTTTTAATGATGTATTGATTTTATAACTAAAGAAAATTCATTTGAAGGGGAAAGTATTAATGATGATTTGTTTCACTCTAGTAGAAATGTCATCTTTATTTTATTTTTTGAGAGGAATTTAAAGAAATGCCACCTTTAAAGAGTTTTTTTATTGTGAACTATACCACCAATGAAAGTATAAATCTACAATGTAATGGATATTTTCAGAGAATATCAATTTTCAACTTCATCTTCTATGATGATTGATATTATGGCTGGAATAGCAGGCATTCCAGCTGGAGTTAGCAGCGTTCCCCCTCTGTAACATATCATTCATTGGTCTGATGCCAAACAACAACCTCTCAGAGGAGCTGTGAGGGAGCTGTGGTATCCTGAGGGAGAGGTAGGGAAGAACATCCTATGATTAGATAGAAAGATATCAGCTAATAATAAAGTCTTTGCTCTTTTGGGATCCATATCATGAACCTGGAGAAGTAAAGCCTTTGAGGAGCATCTGGAAAACTTACTATAGAATTTGGAGCAATTAAATGGAGGTAAGGCAGTGGTTTATGGCTTTGGGGGACTCATGCATCTTACTGATATTTTAATAAAATCTGTGGCTCCTCCTGCTATAAAATTCGTATACGTGCATAAGTTTGGCATGCAATTTCAGAAACAATCACAAACCTCATGAGTGAATAGATCATGGGTTGCAAAAGAACCTCTGGAAAAAAAAGGAATGCAAGCATTTCTGCTTCTCATACATGAAATTATCTGCAGATGACAGATAGCCAACCCTGGAACTAAGGTTTGGATGCAGAATAGGGCAATATACAAAAATCAGATATTGGGAGGTAAGCTATCAGGCAAGGAAACTCAGGGTACCATGTAACTGGTATAGAAAACACTTTCTGATGGCAGCCAGCACTCATAGGACCCAAATTGGTCATTCCAGTTGTGACAACATAGGTTGAATTCTCTGCTGCCACGCGCTTCTTTAGCAAAAACTAGTACCTAGTAGGTGGAACAGAGAGATCTAGAAGGATACAAAGAATGTGGGAAAGTCCCCCAGGACCTTCAGAATCATTTCCCACTGTACTCTACTGGACAAAGGTGATTTATCTTAACGTGAATGAGCTGGACAATAGTTGGGGGTATAAAAGGGAATGATATGTAAAATCAATCAGTTTAAGAAGAAGCTGAATTCAGATCTTCAACAAGGCCATTGGAGGCTGGGCACGGTGGCTCACGCCTGTAATCCGAGCACTTTGAAAGGCTGAGGCAGATGGATCACCTGAGGTCAGGAGTTTGAGACCAGCCTGGCCAACATAGTGTGACCCCATCTCTACTAAAAATACAAATATGAACCAGACATGGTGGCAGGCACCTGTAATCCCAGCTAGTCGGGAGGCTGAGGCAGGAGAATTGCTTGAACCCGGGAGGCAGAGGGTGCAGTAAGCCAAGATCACGCCACTGCACTCCAGTCTAAGCAAAAGAGTGAGACTCTGTCTCAAAAAAAATAAAAGAAAGAAAGAGTAAACAAAACAAGGCCATTGGACAAAACAGAAATGGGCAAGTTGAGGAGTTGAGATTGCTAAGGAACACAAACTGAGATTGCTGAGCACATAAGCTCTGCATATATGGGGCTGGGGAAGTCATCCACGTGAAAGTGAAGCATTAAGAGTTGGCTACCAAGTGACATAAGTCAGTGCACAACAGCAGTGGTTTATAAGCCACAGTGCCCTGACAGGCAGCTCTCTAAGGATCTGCAAGACTTGTTATCTGCCATGTTCAGGCTGTGCCTGACTCAAACGCACGAAGGAGCCCCTTAAGCAATTTCCGGATCTGAGTTCAAAAGGGGAAAAAAGGGGGTGGAGAGCAGAACATCTCCCTGGCATGCCAACCCCATTTCGAAGTGAAACTGCTTTGGTGACTCTCTCAAGGGGAAATTCTCAGGAGGATGTAAACTTAGGAAGCTGGCTTCCTGGTCAGGGAGACATAGGCGAACCAAAAGGCTTTCCCCACCTCTCCAGCTTCTTCTTGCCCCAATTACACCTTCTCCTTCCAGCCACACCAGCCAGCCTTTGTCTAGTTCCCCAAATGCACCACACTTCCCGTTGCTGCTGGGCCTCCATCTATGCTCTTCTCCCCTCTCTTCACCTGCTTAATTCCTCCTCATTTTCCAGATCTCAGCTTTCACTTCCTCAGGAAAACCCTTTCTGACCTCAGCCATTAACCCGGATTTTGCATAAATGTTCACCCCCCCCCTCCTCCCGTACTGCAGTTACATGATGTGATGGTCTGTGATGGTGAATACTGAGTGTCAACTTGATTGGATACAAAGTATTGATCCTAGGTATGTCTGCGAGGGTGCTGCCAAAGGAGATTAACATTTGAGTCAGTGGGCTGGAAAAGACAGACCCACCCTTAATCTGGGTGGGCACCATCTAATCAGCTGCCAGTGAGGCTAGAATATAAGCAGGCTGAAAATGTGAAAAGAGAGACTGGCTATCCAACCGCCATTCTTCCTTTCTCTTCACACTCCTGAATTTTCATCTTTTATACACATTTAGGATACTATAAACATATAGTACCATCGATTTTCCAAGGGAGTCCAATTTCAATGATGTTTGAATGAGTAAATATATAATTTATATGACTTAATTTTATGCAAATTTCTTATTTTAAAACAATTATTACATTGATGTATAATGTATGTACATAGTTTGGGGGTACATGTGATAATTCAATATACTCATATAATTATTAAAGATCAAATCATTGTACTTCGGATATCCATTACTTTAAATATTCCAATCATATAATTTTCCTATGAACAAAATAGAGAAGGCCTGTTCTGGAAAGCATCCATACAAGCTTGCAGGATCTTTAAAAAAAATACCTCTGTCTGAAATTGCTCTGACACATCCAATCAGAGCATAAGAGAGACTCATAGTCTCTCATGGCTAGGAGTTCATCACGCCTCCAATGGGTGGTCCCCAGCTTTCCTTCATCTGATGTTTAATAAGCTGTTTACAGAGAAAACTTAGCATCAGTCTTCCAGGAAAGCTCACAATGTGGGGGCAGAGAAGATATATGCAAGAGTATTTCTCCCGTGCTGGATGCCTCCTGCCCTTGAACATCGGACTCGTTTTGGAACTCGAATATCTTCAGTTTTGGAACTCTGACTGGCTCTCCTTGCTCTTCAGCCTGCAGATGGCCTATTACAGGACCTTGTGATCAAGTGAGTTAATACTTAATAAACTCCCCTTTATACACATATATATCAGTTCCATTAGTTCTGTCCCTTTACAGAAACCTAATACAAGGTTCGTATCTTTTTCTCAAAATGAAAACTTCAGCAATATATTTTTTAAACTTTTTATTTTGAAAATCGTTAGACTTTCAAAGGTTGGCAAAAATAATAGAGTTTCCAAGTACCTTTCACCCAGCTCTTACTACTGTTAACATCTTACATAACCACAGTACAATTATCCAAAACCAAATAATTGACATTTGTGTAATCCTATTTCTGGTCCTTTTTCCAATCCAGCATCCAAATTGGGATCTCACCATGCATTTGGTCGTCATATTTCTTTATTCTCTTCCAGTCCAGGACTGTTTCTCAGTCTTTCCTTATTGTTCACGGCCTTCGCACCTTCAAAATGTACCGGCCAGTTATATTGCAGAGTGTCTCTCAGTTTGGGCTTGTCTGGTCTTTTCTCACTATTGCACTGAGATTGCACATTTCTGACAATACCACAGAAGTGACGCTGCGCCCTTCTCAGTGTATCGTATTAGAAGGTACATGGTATCAGTGTGTTTTATTAGTGGTGATTTAACTTGATCACTTGGTTAAGGTGATTTCTGTCAGGTTTCTTCACTAAAATGACTGTTTTTTCCCTTTGTAATTAGTGTCTTGCGAGGGATCTTAAAACCAGTCAAAATCCTGTTTCCCATCATACTTCTAGTCACTCATTCAGCATTCATACATGTTTCTTGTCTGCAACAACTATTCCTATGGTGTTTGCCTAATGGTGATTTATTTATTTTTTATTTATTTTTATTTTTTGGAGATGGAGTTTCACTCTCTGTCACTCAGGCTGAAATGCAGTGGCACAGTCTCAGCTCACTGCAACCTCCACCTCCCAGATTCAAGCCATTCCCCTGCCTCAGCCTCCCAGGTAGCTAGGATTACAGGTGCCTGCCACAACGCCCAGCTGATTTTTGTATTTTAGTAGAGACAGGGTTTTGTCATGTTGGCCAGGCTGGTCTCAAACTCCTGACCTCAGATGATCCACCTGTCTTGGCCTCCTAAAGTGCTGGGATTACAGGCGTGAGCCACCATGCCTGGCCTTTTTTTCTATTTCTATCATTCCATCTACATTTATGATTCCATTGTGTATGGGATTCTATAGTGTATTTTTATTCATTGGATTATAACCCATTATTGTCATTATTTTATTGCTCAAATTGCCCAAGATTTGGCCACTGAGGGACCTTCAGTTTGGTTCCTGTGCCCTTTCAATATGCTCTCATGTTCTTGTAACCTACAATATATTTATTTTCCCAACATATACACATAAAATACTTTCTGAACTGCTCATTCCTGTTCCTGTGAAAAACTGGCTAACTAGACTCCGGGATTTGGTACAGCTCCTTTTCTTGCTCTAGTATCCCATCAAAATGCTTTATTTTTCTTGCCCGCCTTCTTCAATGTGGTTTTATTATTGACTTTAATTATTTTGGGGGATTTGAGAAACATTACTATGGCTCTAAGAGTCACAGTTATACAAAATATACCCAGATACATTCGGCAGTGTCCCGTTCCTACCTCCTTTACACCATCAGGATTTCTCCCTTCTTTCCACTCTACACCCACCTACCTTCCAGAGAGATCTCATTACTTCCTGGGCAATCTTTCCTTACGTACTTTGCATAAACAAGCAGATACATGTACTTTCTTATATCTCCTTCTTTCTTACCTAAAAAGTACCACATTCTACTTTTTGTACTTTGCTTTTTGCATTTAATATGTCTTTAAAATAACTCTATACTGATTCATAGAGATCTTCCTCATTTTTTTTTTTACAGCTCAACAATATTCCATCATGTGGGTATGCCATAGTTTACTCAGCCTTTCTTTTGTATATGAACATGACTTTGCTTCCAATATTTGCAGTCACAGTGCTGCAATGAATAATCTTGAGCAACTGCATGTTTGTACTGTTGGAGGTGCATCTTCAAGGGAAATTCCCACAAGCGGAAATGGTTGTCACAGGGTAAATGCTTCCGCAATTTGTTAAGTACTAAAAAACTCCCCTCCAGAAAAATCATACTAGTTTGCATTCCCACCAACAGTGATGACAGTGTGTTTCCCTATAGCCTTGCCTAACAGAATGTGTTCTTTCTTTCATCAATCTGAGAGATGATAAATGGCATCTCAGTGTTATCTCGATTTACATTCCTCTAATGAGTTAGTTTGAACATTTCAAAGAGCCGTTTTTATACATTTTTTAAAATATATATATATTTTTTATTGAGACAGAGTCTTGCTCTGTCACCAGGCGCCAGGCTGGAGTGCAGTGGCATAATCTTGGCTCACTGCAACCTCCGCCTCCTGTGTTCAAGCAATTCTCCTGCCTCAGCCTCCCAAGTAGCTGGGACTACAGGCGCACGTCACCACGCCCAGCTAATTTTTGTGTTTTTTAGTACAGACGGGGTTTCACCATGTTGGCCAGGATGGTCTTGATCTCTTGAGCTCGTGATCTGCCCACCTCGGCCTCCCAAAGTGCTGGGATTACAGGCATGAGCCACTGCGCCCGGCCACCATTTTTATATCTCTACATGAGTGTGGATGTTCATGTCTTTTTCCAGTTTTTCTATCAAGTTTTTGGTTCTTTGTCCTTAAATGTTTCATTCTTCATATAGTAAGAACACTAATTGTTTGTCTGTGATATATGCTGGGTAAATTTTTCTCCCAGTCATTTGACTTCATTGTGTTTTTATCAAGCATTTTTTTTCTCTTTATGTAGTCAAATGTGTCAATATTTTATTGCCTCTGGATATTTCCACCACATTTCCTTCTATATTTACATGGCTTCATTTTCTTACATTTGGATCCTGGGCCCACTTGGAGTTCATTCCTGCATGTGGTGTGAAGTACAGGTCTAATTTCAACTTTTTCCAGGTGGCTTTCCAGTTGGCTGAGCACCATTTATTAAAAAGTCTGCTTTGACCTGCGACTGGAGATACCACCTTTAACTCCTCATCCCCCACCCCTAAGAAGCCTCAAGGAACACAGGATCCAGGAGCAGAGCAGGCATAAAAAGATTAACTGAGTGTGAAATATGGCAAGGTTTCTCTTCAAACAGCCTGCTCAACTTTTTATTCTTTCATTTCAAGTACCCCCCGCTTCTCTTCTCCTTTTCTTCTGATTTTACTACATGCCCAGGCATGTCACAGCACCAGCTCACATTCCTTTCCTTATTTGGGGAAGGACTGGCTCTCTAGTCTGCCACAGATGACCCCTTCCTCCTCTCCCCTCTCTCCCATCACGTGTCCACCTTATCTAAGAAAGTTTAAATGTTCAGCCAATCGGGTCTAGTTTAGATTGTATGGTCTGACCCCAGCCAATGGGGAAAGGACACAGAGGTAGGTGTCACGTTAGGAATAAAAGCTTCTACTGTCCTTTGTTTGGGGTGCTCTCGTGGCAACCAGCCCCATGAGAGGCACCCTTCTGCGCAGAAGTAAATTTGCTTTGCTGAGAAATCCTTTATTTCAGTGCTCACTTTTCCTTATCTGAGCTTTATTTCTAACACTGAGCTACTGAGATTCATTCAAGAATGTGGACTAAAAAGCAACTGCTGAGAACAAGGCTAGAAGATCCAACAGAGGGAAATGGCCATGGAGGTTACTGCCAGGGGAAGTGTCAGACCCCCGGCACTGGGAAGTGGTCAACTCACGGGTTGGTAAAAAGAATTAACCGACAACAATATAGGTTTGAAAAAGGAAAGGTATGAGAAAGGAAGAATGCTGCAGCAGCGTGTGGCAGCGTGCCTCAGTGGCAGGACTGAGCATACCATGGTGGATTTTTCCTTAGGGATACTTATGGACCTTAAAGCAGGACGTTAAGGTTGCGCAGTGAGTTTCGGCATGGCATTCCAGAGATGTGTAGAAATTTTAGTTACTTATAAGTTTTTTATGGGGGGAAAGAAATCTGGAACCAAATGCCTGCTTTAGATAATAGGAAAGTCTAATTACTTCTAATTTTCCCCAGATAAGGAATTTTGCCTCTGCCCCTGGTGGCCTGTTTCATAGTCACAGGTGGTCTTTGCTCCCTTCTAAATTCCTCAGATCAGATTTTGTCTCTGGGACCTGTTCAACGGTCACCAGGCGATTTTCACTCTTCTCGGTCATGAGGTGATAGAAAGCAAAATAGCAAACAAGGGAGCTGGATGGCGATGAACCAGAGATGACAAGCAGCTCCTGCCACAGAAGCAGAAGGCCCATCCCTGGAATCGCCTTGGCTCGCCTGTACCATTCCAACAAACCCTTGCAACCAAAAGAGCCCCATCCCAAACACGCTTTTGAAATCCCAAGATATGATCAGTGAAATCTGCAGCCAAGGCAAAGGAGAAACTGTCAACAAGTTAAAACGATTTATTGCTATTCCAGGCTTCAAATGAGCCCAGAACTCAGGGCTGGTGTGTGGTTCAGAAGTTGTCATGGCATTAGCAGGGTGGTGGACAAATCCAGGCAGTCTGATGTTGAGGTCACCCTCTCTTCCTTGGACCACTGCTCCAAAAGCAACTGCTGGTGGTGCCAACTCTTTCCCATCTGCCTCATTCAGCCAACTAGACTCCAAGACTGGGGTAGGCAGCCTTGTGATCCCCGCAGCTCACATCTAAGAGGCTGCCCAGACCTCTCCTAGCACTGGAAGAGACTTTTCCTTGGGACCAGACACTATTGCTTTGGCCCTGTGGAGGGAGAGGCAGTGCCACAGGAGTTGTCTTAAGAAGACAAAGTGGCCAGGCACGGTGGCTCACGCCTGTAGTCCCATCACTTTGGGAGGCCAAGGTGGGCAGATCTCTAGAGGTCAGGAGTTCGAGATCAGCCTGGCCAACAGGGTGAAACCCTATTTCTACTAAAAATACAAAAAATTAGCTGGGCATGGTGGCAGGCACCTGTAATCCCAGGTACTTGGGAGGCTGAGGCCCAGAGGATTGCTTGAACCCAGGAGGCGGAGGTTTCAGTGAGCCGAGATCGTGCCACTGCACTCCAGCCTTGGTGACTAAGTAAAATTCT